GGGGGGGCGGCAAGGTGGGGGCCACAAACTATCATCCGGCAGGCCACAGTTGGCCCGTGGGCCATGTGTTTGAGACCCCTGATCTAGTGGTTGAACTTTTCTTTCATATTTGACTAAATGTTTGCATCACCATATGTGTGTTAATCAGCTTATCTATGTTAGAAACTATTTGCCTTCTCCAAAAAACTAAGATTTTCACTGTGGCAACACCATCTGCATTTCCATTCCCATCTATCACTGTTTTCTAGTATGTATCTGAATAATCTGTCTGCTAAGGCTTTGCTCCATTCATTTGATAAAGTGAGATGCAGCTAGTTCACACTTACGCCAAATAAAGCGTGTCAGTCCTCAGGGGGCAGCAGCATTTTTTGTTGTTGTTGCATTATGGATTCACTTGAGATGGCATTTTCAGAAGTATTTTGCTGGAAGATGAATCAGTGAACATTAAGGTGAAAATATTGTCACCTATAGTTTCACTGAACAAAGTGACTAGAAAGGTCAGAGCCCAAGTCTGTTACAGAATTTTTGAAGGGGTGGTCCAGAAGAAACATCTTGACCAACCAGCAGGGGTGCAGTATCCAGTGAGCATTTCTGGTAAAGATAGGATGAGAGCCATGATTTTTGCACATACCTCTTTGAACCTTTTTATGCCGTGCTACTACTTATACCTGTTGCAACTGCATTCTCATTGACAAAATGCTTTTATCAAACCATAATGTTTATCCAGCTTTTCTACAGTATCATTTACCAGTTAAATTTGTCCTCATTTTTCTTTTGTCAAACCTTCCTCTCTCTCTATTGTTTTCTAATAGATTTCAAACTCTCTAGTTAAGAATCATGTTACATCTAGATACTTTCCTTCTAGTTGAGTGCCTGAAAACATGCAATAGTTGGAGTATCAGCTCCCATAAGAAATTTATTTATTTGCCTCCCTTGGGGTGGCCACTGGCAATATCAAAGATTAGGAGATGTGGGACAGGAGATTGATCTGAGGGATAGACATTCTGCCAGGTAGTAAAGGTCCCAAACTGTTCAGGGCTTTATATGTTGACTACTCTGGGTGGCTAACAGTAATGGATAAAAGTAAAAACAATATAATAAAATAAAGACAACAGTAATATAATTCAAGATGGCAAACGTAATCAGGTGATGATAGGAGGAAAAGCCTTTCTAAAGAGCCAGATCTTAAGTTTGCTCTTAAAAACACCCACTGAGGGAGCCAGACAGATCTCTGCAGGCAGACTGTTCCAGAGGTGAGGGGCCACAGCGGAGAAGGCCCGGTTTCTTGTTCTTTCTCTCTGGGCCTCCCTTGGCATTAGGCCCCTCAGCCGCCCGCCTTGGCTTGTACGAGTGATTCAGGTAGATCTAGGTGGGAGGAGGCGTTCTGCTAGATATCAAAGTCCTAAACCATTTAGGGCTTTATATGTCATAATTAACACCTTGAAATCATTGCAGAAATGAACCGGCAGCCAAAGAAAGGCAGCCAGAGTGGAGGAAATATGCTGATATTTTCTCACCGCAGTGAGAAGTCTGGCTGCCATATTCTGTACCATTTGAAGCTTCTGCATAAATCTCAAAAGTAGCCCTCATGGAGCACATTACAGTAGAATGCATTTTGTTGTTGCTTAGTGCTGAGAGAGCCATTTGTTTGTTGTTGTTTAGTCGTTTAGTTGTGTCCGTCTCTTGGTGACCCTATGGACCAGAGCACTCCAGGCCCTCCTGTCTTCCACTCCCTCCCGGGGTTGGGTCAAATTCATATTGGTAGTTTTGATGACACTGTCCAACCATTTTGTCATCTGTTGTCCCTTTCTCCTCTTGCCTTCACTCTTTCCCAACATCAAAGTCTTTTCCAGGGAGATTTCTCTTCTCATGAGATGGCCAAAGTACTGAAGTCTCAACTTCAGGATCTGTCCTTCCAGTGAGCACTCAGGATTGATTTCCTTCAACATTGATAGGTTTGATCTCCTTGCAGTCCAGGAGACTCTCAAGAGTCTCCTCCAGCACCACAGTTCAAAAGTATAAATTCTTCGGCGGTCAGCCTTCTTTATGGTACAGCTCTCACGTCCATACATTGCTACTGGAAAAACAATAGCTTTGACTATGCGGACCTTTGTCGGCAAGGTGAACCCTTTGCTTTTTAGGATGCTGTCTAGGTTTGTCATCGCTTTCCTCCCAAGAAGCAGGTGTCTTTTAGTTTCATGGCTGCTGTCACCATCTGCAGTGATCATGGAGCCCAAGAATGTAAAATCTGTCACTGCCGTAGAGCAGATTACAAAGCCATAATCTTTCACCTGATGTCTGTAAATGTAGAGCAGATTACAGAGCCATAATCTTTCACCTGATGTCTGTAAAGCCCATTTATTTATTTAATTTAAATATTACCTGCCTACCCCTTCTCCTTAAAAAGGATCCATGACTTGCTTCTTACAGTGTTTGAAGATTAAGTTGAAGATTTTGGAGACTACTTGTGTCTTTTCATATCTTGTTTCAGCATTGTATTCCTGAAAGAAGATGATTTATTGCTGGTCTCATCAGAGATTTCCAACATGAGCTGGAATATAATTTTATTCTTTTAATCCACAGGTAACAGCTGTACCATTGGATTTCTATTGCAATGATCGAAGTGCAGAATATGAGCGTAAGGCACTTAAAGAAGGAGGAAGCCTTGAAGCTAAGCAATGTTTATTGTATGGAACACCTGAACTAGCAGCAGGCTGGCTGAAACGATGCTTTCAGTTTTTCCCTGAACATCCAGGAGGCCTCATGGGGGTCAGACCTCAAAATGGCTGGTCTTTCATCAGAATACCAGGTAGGTTCAGTCCTAGTGCTTCACATGCTTGTTTTTATGCCCCCCCCCCCGGCTTCTTCCTGCTATATCATTGTAAGTAATGCATATTATGGAAGGCTTTCTCCAAAAAGTGGGAAACAAACTATCAAGCTCCATGTGTGTATGTGTTTTTTCACACATCCAATGCTCTACATTTATTTTATTTTATTTATATACCATGCCATTAGTGCCAAAGCACCATTCTGGGCAATTTACAAAGGATTAAAAACAAATCTTCACAACAAAACACTAAACTATAACACAAAATAGCAACAATACGCCAAGAGCATTAAAAAAATTTCACTAACAAATTGTCACAGGAAAGCAGAACTGGAAGTGAAGCGCTCAAAGGGGTTCAGATTGAAAAACCTCCATGAAAGGAAGTATTTTCAGCTGTTTCTTAAAAGGATATAGGGAAGGGGGCAGGCATAGCTCTGCTGGGAACTAGTTCCATAGTCTTGGTGCCACCACAGAGAAAGCCGTGCCTTTGAACTTCTCTCAGGATGGCTACCCAGAAGAGCCTGGCCTGAGATGATCTGGTGGGTCAGACAGATGACACTGGGGAAAGAAGCTCCAACAGGTAATATCGTTCCAAACTGTGATTGGCTTTATATGTGAGTGTCAAAACCTTGAACCTGATCTGGGACACAATGGGTAACCAGTGGAGACTGTCCAGAACTGGAGTGATGCAATTAAATTTGCTCGCACTGACAACCAGTTTAGCTGCCACATTCTGGGCCCTCTGTAGTCTCCATGCAGCCCCACATAGAGAGCATTGCAGTAGTCAGTGCAGGAGATCACCAGTGCCTGCACCAATGTCCTGAGGGAGCCCTTGTCAAGGTACATTGGACAATAAGCCTAAACTGGTTGAAGGCCGATATGGACATTGTCCTGTTCCTATAGTTAGTAGATTTTTGTTGCTATTGGGGCTGCCTTAGTAAGATCTTTTCTAATGGGAGCGGCTGAAGTAGTTCTCTAGGATTCTGCTGTTTTCCCAGCTCTAACAGTTGAACCTCTAAAAGTGTGCACCTCATCTTTAGTAGTATTTATGCATTTAAATGCTTACAGATGAATACTAAAGTACCTTGCAGTATATAGCTTGTCATTTTTAGTGTAATAATTAATACTTATTTTTGTGCCAAAACTATACCCACAGCAGCATGCAGAGTGAAATACATAATAAGAAAACCTTAAATACATTATAAACTTGTCAGAAATAAATGGGAATACTAGGTATATCAGATAAACTATATCTTATGTGGTTTTAGCTTCTGTAACATACTCTGGTGCTGTCCCAATGGATTGCCTTGCCACCACTGCTGCTAAAATCATGCAACCCCAGCTGCTTTCACTTAAACTTTCTGCCCATACTGGGAGCCACATGATAAGATACATAAAGAGAAAGGATTATATTTTCGCATGCCACAGCTGTCAAGGTTGGTTTTGAACTTTTGGGAATGTCCTCTAGGACAATTCTTCTAGTATTTCTTTAAATTAAAGAACAGACATCCTCATGACTTTTACATCAGTGCAAGACAGTCTGTTGTGAAGTAAATTAGATGTAAGGGAGTCTTCAACAGTACCTCTGTTTTCACCTGGAAAGTATTGAATCTTATGTACTCCTTTTTCCTTGAATGTTTGAGAGTTGTTTTTACATCTCAGAATTCAAGTTGAAAATTTGACCTTTGCAGTAGGAGAAAATGAAAGTGATGGGGAAAGGGGGTGCATGTTGTTTGCTTTGTTTTAGAAAGTAAATAAAAATTGAAGGAGGAATTCAATACAGAATTAATTTCAGACCACAAAGTTACAGTGAGATGGATATATAACTGAACAGCAAAACAGCTGCTGTTGCAGTTACCTCTCTTCTCTCAGACCCTCTGTTCCCTGCTGTGATCACTGTGGGAATCTCTTGAGGGTGTTCCTGTTCTTTGAAAGAAAAATGGTTTTAGATTAAATGGCAGGAAGTGTCTGAGTTCTTTTTGCATCGATAAAGAGCACAGTCTTTGCAAACTGTTTACTGTGAGAGCTAGCTCCTCAGTGACCCCGTCAAGCCTTGGGGAAAGAGGCAGTTGCTGACAGATTCACCTCATTTACTGTCTGTTTTAGTATTACCCTAGGGAAATTTTCATTTTCACCTGTGAGAGCTAAGATTAAATCATGTTCTTCAGGGGGGAAAATATACAACTGAATAACTAATCTCTTTTAGCTGTTATTTCGACTGCCTGTTTCTTCCACAGTCAATTTACACTCATAGCACTCCCTCATTTACTAATGGAGCTCAGTTAAGGCTGACTAAAAACAGTTTTTTGTTTGAGTGAAATGAAGCCAATTTGATCCTGGCACAAATCTATGGCAGATTTCCCTCTTCTTTTAGGTAATCTATGGAAAGCAAAAAGAAAAAGGGGACAAAAATAATGATTAACTGGTGCTTAATCATGTATGAATCTTTAACATCGTCTGCTATTTTGTACTGTAGAGCAGGGGTCCCCAACCCCTGGTTCATGACCCAGCACCGGTCTGTGGCCTAGGCAGGATCACACTGCAGACACAGATCTCGTGTCCCCCCCCTTGAGTGCCCCGCGCATGCGTGAGCATGTCACACACTCCCCAACCGGTCCATTGTTGGGAAAAGGTTGGGGACCACTGCTGTAGAGAACCAAGGAAGGAGGGTTGAGATGAAGGATGTCCGCTGTTGCATCCTGCCCAAAGATTTTTTATAAATATTTATCCCCTCACTAGATAGATTAGTGGCTTTCCATTTGATGGGCAAGGTAGAAATATGAATGAATGAATGAATGAATTCCTGTTTCTGCTCTAAAATGGAGAACTGATGTGCCTTAGTATAGTGCTAAGCATAGTTCTAAATAAGGTAGGCAGGCCTCAAAAATATGTGTTGCTTTCATATTTCGTTGCACTTGTTTTACTAATGGCAGTCCTTTTATCCCCATTAGGGTCCACTAGAACAAGCCATGTCTTCTGAATGTTTCTGTGTTCCTTAATCTTGTATGAACTATATGAACTGCTAGTGACAGCTCATACAGTTTGGAACAGATTTGGCAATATGAAATGAGATGATTGGGGGGAGAATTTTAAGAAAAGAAAGAGAAGAAATGCATTACCTAAAATTCTGTTTTGATATAAAATTCAGCATTGCTGACTATGCATAGAATAAATACAAGTATAATTTTAGTCTTAACTTGATAGAACAGAGATACAAACCAGGTGGAGGAAGTAGTTAAGAGATTCTCAAGCTTCTTGAAGTAGCATGAAACAAATGAAAGCAAAGCAAGTAGAATTTACAACATGAGCTTCCTGACAACTAGCGTATTCTTTTAGAACTTTGGCATAGTTCATTATTGGTTTGAACTATTTTTTTTTCTCATCAGCTGGCAGTATTCTTCACCCTGAAAACACATGCTACTTTCCTTGAACCTATTTCCTTCATAACTGCGTATCTACTCAATCACTCATAGCATTATGTTTATTCTTTTAAGACCTCAGGCATGTGGTTCGTAACTTTGATCCATCCAGGTGTTGGTCAGATCTGTGTTTACTTCATTTTGCAGGTGCAACAACATCAGATGCCTTCAAATCATTTTGTGAACCATGAGAAAGGGATATTCTTACATCCTTTCATGGATGATATAAGATTGTTCATCCAAGGAAGGCTTAGTTAAAGTTTATAACATTATGTTGGTCAAGAAAGTTCATGTAAAAATGAACTTGCCTTCATGTGCTTCAATAATTCTATGCTATAAATTTTAAGGGTTTTGTAAAACTTCATTTCTTTTAGACAAAGAGAGCCTGATCACAGACAGCGGAAAGCTTTATGCCTTGGACATTTTGTTAACAAGATTGAAATCTCAAGGACACAGAGTTCTTATCTACTCTCAAATGACACGGATGATTGACTTGTTGGAGGTAAGAAGCATATAATCTATATAAAGGGTATCTGACATTTGTGACTAAAGAAATAAAAGGAAACCTATTCTCAACATAAAATAATGATCAATAATATAGTACAGGTACCCAGTGCAGTGTAGTGGATAAAGTGACAGACTAGGACTCGAATTGAGTGCTCACTGGAAGGACAGATCCTGAAACTTAGGCTCCAATACTTAGGCCCTCTCATGAAAAGAGATGCCTCCCTGGAAAAGACCCTGATGTTGGGAAATGGGAAGGCAAGAGGAGAAGGGGACGACAGAGGACAAGATGGGTGGACAGTGTCATTGAAGCTACCAACATGAATTTGACCCAACTCCGGGAGGCAGTGGAAGACAGGAGGGCCTGGCGTGCTCTGGTCCTTGGGGTCACCAAGAGTCTGACACGACTTAATGACTAAACAACAACAAAAGGACTCGAAGACCTGCATTTGATTTCCCATTTCACCATGGAAACTTACTAGCAGTGTGGAACTGGTAAAACCACGCCTTAGATAATTCACTTACTTGGGAAGTCCTATTTGAGTGACTATAAATTGGGTCCATTACAACAACATAACAATATAGGACTAATAATCTCTGACTGGTTTGTTTGTCTTTCTCCCAATGAGGCGAACAATCATAGTCTTACAGGGCTGAAATAGTTATTTTTCAGTGTTGCTATTGCATTATTCTATCTCTTATGAAGACAGAGCTATCCAGCTCCTCTTTATCCCTGCCACTGATGCTATTTCACATCAGTTCAGCCTGAAACTTTTCCTTTTTCATTGTGGACCCACTGAATGATATTTTAAATATATTGTCCACTGCTTGTGTGTGGCCCTCCCTGCCAAGATTTGGGCCTCCATTGCTTGTGAATACTGTTGATTTTTCCACTATGGTAGTGAACAGAAAAACACAAAATGAGGTGTTCAAGTGTATGCCCTGAAACCTCCCAGAAACAGATTTCACCTTTAAAATGAAGCACAAGATCTCCCTATGCCTTGTTTTACAGGAAAAGGGAGGCAGCCTTTTATCACCTGCAGCAAGCTAAGCAGCTGCACAGGGGCTTTCTCTGGTTAACTCAGAGAGCCTAGTGCAATATTCCTCCCCCCAAGAAAGTGCCCACCCCTCCTGTGAATAAATATTTGGTTGCCTGGGTTTGGATAATTGAGTAGTATCTATTTTAGAATAACTTTGCCATCTCCCTGCATTTCTTAGTGGATCATAACAAGATAGAAACATTCAGATGACTAAATTCCTCTGTTGCCTCAGTAACCAGTTTTCTCTAATCAGGACTGATTTCATTATTTTCCAAGACTGGTATTTCTGATGTCATGCTGACCGTGTCAACTGAATAGGCTTAATAGGATAATATTTAAGCAGTTTTAATATAGCTATCTCTCTATGATTACTCATCTTCTTTTTTACTTAAAAAACATAAGATTGCAGTCTGTTCGTGGTTAAAGATTTGAAAACCTTTTGGGTGAGAACTCTTGAACCTTCCAATGTAATTGCTATATGTTGCCATTAACATCCTGAACACTTCATTTGGCATTCATATGCTTGAACTGGAGTTTGTTATTCTGACTCACTAAGTATCTGTTTGAACTTTCTGAAGTATTGCTATATTATGTAAACTCTTCTAAGGTTGTGAACCATTTCAGCCTTCATTTGCTATGAAAGGCAGTATACAGATATTTTTTTTCATATTAACAGAATAACTAATATAATACAGTACATAGGGCCCTCATTCTGTTCTTCCCTTATTCAGGCCTACAAACATAGTTTGTCTACTTAAGATAGATTCCAATATACACCATGTTCTGTTTCCTGCCCTTGAAACCCAGGATTCTTTCTAGAGCAGAATTACCTTTCTTGAGGTCTGGAACAGACATAAGAACATAAGAAGAGCCCTGTCCTGCTGGATTAGGCCATGGACCCATCCATTCCAGCTTCCTGTATCTCACAATGGCCCCACCAGATGCCTCTGGGGGCACACGGGACAACTAGATAGTCTCCTGCTACCACTCCCCTCCATCTAGCATTTTGAATACCTTCCTTTTAAGCCTGGAGATTATACATCCCCGTCATGGCTTGTAACCTGCAATGGACTTTTCCACCAGGAATCTGTCCAATTCCCCTTTAAAGGCATCTAGACCAGATGCCATCACCACATCCTGTGGGAAGGAGTTCCACAGACCAACAACACTCTGAGTAAAGAAATCTTTCCTTTTGTCTGTTTTCACTCTCGCAACACTTAATTTGAATGAATGTCCCCTGGTTCTGGTGTTGCTTGAGAGGGAAAAGGGCTTCCCTCTATCCACTTTATCCATCACCTGCAGGCACCTTTTCTCTAGACTAAAGAGCCCCAAACACTCTAGCTTTTCCTCATGAGGGAGGTCATCATTTTAGTCATCATTTTAGTCACTCTATTCTGCACCTTTTCCAGTTCCACTGTATCTGTTTTGACATAATTCAGGCTTCCTGTGGTTCAGGTTGCCATGTCAGTTGAATAAGCTTCATCATCTGAGAGACTGCAGTAGGGATGGGAATTTTGTTTAAAAACAAAAGGGAAAAACATAAAAGAGGCTATTCTATCACTTTTAAATTCTTTCGCTAATTCCTAAGAACCTCTTAGACATGACGGATGCACTTTAAATGAAAGAGGGCTATATGGAAATTTAATAGGTTTTTCTGTGTCCTTCCTTCATTAAATTTTTCCTTCACCCCTTGTCTGTCAAGTTACCTGGGAAGTTCTTCAGATGATAAGGTTGTATGGGCAGCCAATCAAATTATCCTGAAGGGTGGAGTGGAAATTTTGAAGGTATAAGGAGCCTGGATTGGTTGAAATGCAGTGAGGAGGAGTGGTACTCTTTCTTTACTTCATCAGCGTGATTGTGCAATTTGTGCTGCTTGCTAAGGATGTTCATGGTGAAAGTTTTTTGAGAGCCAAGAGAGAAGAAAGTAGGCATGGAGCATTCTCAGCTTTTTATTTTTTTTAACTCTTTTTTATATATATTCAAGAGTACTCTGGAACAGAAAACCACTGTGGATTCTTACACAAGCAGTCAGCATGGTAAAAGGGAATTTCCTCTTTGCTGTGTTACATTCATTGCAAAATAGTGAGTTACTGGATGTTAGTAGGTTTTTTGTAGCACCACCACCTCAAAAATGAAACAAACACTGAAATGTTCACCCTGTGCATCTCTAGACTACAGTCCTGGCATATCTTTGTCAGTCTCCACTGGAGCTGAGCAAATGGACCTTGAGAGTATCTGTAAAAAGAACCACAGGTGAATTCCTGAAGTAAATTATCTACTTTCAGTTTCTTCACCAGTGTGCAGGAATCTTGTTTCTGACTTAGCATCTTTGCTCCCTCTGCTTAAGTTCTGATAAAGTAATAGCAATAGGTCCTACACTCAGTCAAGTCATGTTTAGAGCAAATCAAAAGCCCATTAAGTATGCTTGGTTTGTAGGATGCAGAAAGGTAAGGTTATAGTTATTTTAAGCTGAGGGGAAGAAACCTGTGAGGTTCAAGATGTGGTTTTCAACTAGTGAAGCACTGGAGCCAGTTGCAGTCAAATAGAGAATGTGCTTCAAGGAGTAAATTTATCACAGTCTCTTTTAAGTCCTGTCTACTACCCTAGACTATTACATTCCACCTGAATGGAAAAGTAATGATAAAAAACAAATAATTCTACATGCTGCTGAAACCCTGCTATATTTGCTGTCCTGCTGAATCATTTTTGGGTGTGTTATGCTTTAGGATTCGTATAGATTCCCAGGGCTGTTCGTGCATACTGGAAATTGCCCTTTGAAATGAAACTTTGGAATTCTCAGGATGCTGCATTCTACCTCTGCTTCCAAATTCTGAATTTGTTCTAAGCAGAAGACTGAAACACAAAACCTTACCCGTTTTTAGTGGAATTATCAGTACGTCAGAATCCAGATAGATGTACAGATGGGAGTGAGATAAACTTTGAAATTCATGTAAAATTATGCAGATAATATTGAATAGACTTTTAGAGGATATAAACATAATTTCAAAGAGAGTTATTGCTGTTTTTGTGTGTTACAGATATAATGAATCACAGTTTTTGTATGTGAGAAGCTGCTGTGGAGTAGGATGAATAACATAATGTGCTTAATATCACTTATTAATTGAATGGTACATTATAAATTACCAACACCTCAGCCCTGTCCAATGTATTCAGAAGTGAAAGGATTTAGCAAAAATGTACTATATTAACAATTTTGTGTTTCATTTACTTTTATACATATAGCTTTTTTGCATATTAAGAGCCACATGGTGTTCAGTAGCTACTATAATGTTATGCTCTGTTTGAACATGATATGAAATTGTAAGATTAATTGATTTTGTTCTTGTTTCTTGTGTTACTGATTTAGGAATACATGGTTTACAGGAAGCATACGTATATGCGGCTAGATGGCTCATCAAAAATCTCTGAAAGAAGGGATATGGTAGCTGACTTTCAGAACAGGTACGCTTTCTTTTATTGCTATAATGTGTTGAGAAGAAATGCCCAGATTAACAGAATTTTATATTTGTGTTTGGCTTCTTCCATTCCTACTTACAAATATTTGTGCTGAATAGGAAACAGAGGGTTGCCCTTGGTGTTTCATTTGCACACTAGAGGTCAGATTCAAATTTAGATGCATGCAGCTGGACTGTTGAAGAAGACTGCCTCATCTGTCTTCCCATTGGTATCCTTTTAATATACCCAGAAAATGCCATGCAAGAAGGCTAGGGAGTGTGTTATATAGTATGGGCATTGATGCAGAGGAGAAATGGCAGAGGGTGTTTCCCTAGAAATCAGTGGGGGCACTTTCTTTCAGTAGAGCTCTTTTGACTGCATATCTATTCCAAGGCCTTTTCTGGCTTTTCCCAAGCCCTGCATTATCATGGCTTCCTGAATACCGAATCAAAAGTTATCAGTGCTAACAGGTTTGCAGGCAAATGGAACCACTGGAAAAGATAAGGGAGGTGTGCTCACTCTGAAGGTTGCTGGAAAAAAAACATAGAAGTACATAAAAACATGAATTTTAGAAGACCAGGATTGAGTCTTGTGATAGAATGGAGCATGATCCACAGCCATATAGTGTTAATTCTCAATTGAAAGAGAAATATGCACTATTATGGGGAGAGAAAGTGGAACAACTTGGTTAGTATTATTATTCGAGCCAGCAGATTAAATTATATTATGATATTTTGTTCTATATTTCTCTTGTTTTCTCAATGTTTTATTTCTAAATAGCTCTGCTTATCAGAAAAAAATATTGTGAAGTATTTTTAATGAGGTCTGTCTTCTTAAGATATTTATCTTATAAAATCAATGTATCTCATAAAGTTATAAATAAAATGAGCCAAAACGTTTGTATCATTTATTCTGTGTTCTGCTTCTCGTATGATGCCATACGTTGGTTCTGACATTTCTATGGCATCATACCAGACATATACCATTTCTATGTCATCATACCAGACATATTGGGTAGCCACTTTAGATAATAGAACATGTTGTCTTCTGTTTTCATTTATTACAAAACTTAACATGTTATCTCTGCAGTGTATAGTCCAGTTTATGATCATGTGGAGCTTAAGAAGTAGGATGGCATTTGAGAGTGAATTCAGATGGCATTTCTAAACAGTATCAGTATTACCTCATAGCCACACAGTAATTGTGTTCTCATGGCCAAGTAATTAAAGTGTCTAGGGCAAGGTTACATGTATGTTATTAGCGATAATACCTGGATGTTAAACTGTGTGTCTGACACTCAAGTAACATTTATGCAAATATGCATCACCTTTGAAATTTTTGCAATCCTCCAGACAGTTCCTTTAAATTAAGCTGCAGAAAGGCTAGTTCTTTTAGTAATTTTCTTTCAAATATATGTTCCTCCAAACTATTCCTAGATATACAGCCATACAAAGACTGTATGAACTAAACATTCACAGCTATGCTTTGCAGATTTATTTTGCAATTGTACAATTAGCTTGAAAAGGTGTAGTTGTACTGCTAGTTTGGATGGTACTTTTATTCTATTGAGGTAGATAAAGTCTAGAAGTTAAAGCTGAAAATGAACATACATAACCATAAGTTCTTGTTTGCTTATCATCACTTTTGTTGTGGGCAGCATTTCCAGTTACTTCTCTTTTTCAACATTTTGGGTTCTATTTTTAGTTAAATGTATGGCCTTATGCTTGTCTGTGCCAGTGAGTTCTCAGACTCATCCTTGCCATTCTTATCCCCGGTTATGACTGCTGATAAAGAATGATCTGGTTATTTTCAGCAAAGTATCAAGAAAGTAATGAGCTAAGAGAATGAAATCTGCAGAAAGACTCCTTCATAGAATCTATAATGGTATCCAAAATGTTGGGTACCATCATAGATTCTGTGGTTACAGAACTTCTCTGTGCATTATGTTTACCTGTGCTCTGGTATGGAGCATGGTCACCACTTGTTGACTCATTCAGAAGCTCTGACTAGGGTTCACCAGAGATCTCACCAGCCCCAGTGCCTTGTTCTGAGAATGTGAGGTGACCACAGAGATCACATATTTCACAGTTGTGTGTCACATGTACTTTATATGGTTTACCAATGCATAGTGACTTGCTTGGTAGAGTTTTCAAAATAAGGTATCAGTGACAAGAAAGCCACAATAGAAGAAAATAAGGTTGCACCAGGCTTGCTTATGCCCCATTAATTTCATAGGATGAATTAATGAGGCACAGCAAAATCATGTGTATGTTTTCTGAGCAATAAGTCCAACTATATTTAATGTGGCTTATTTTCTTAAAATTCTTCTAATGTATTGAATTGCAATTTCAACATGGATCCAGATCTATATGTGTTTTTAAATGTATATGACATTTTATGGCCATTCTCTACTGGACATTTGTAAAACACGAAGTGTTTAGAACTGAAACCAACATTAGATTATTAGCTAATGTGAAAAGGTTGTTTGTGTTGAACCATCTGCACTGTTTGTACAGCAACACATTTCAATTGGATATTCTTTTCCCCTGTCTCTGTAGGAATGATATCTTTGTCTTTTTGTTGAGCACAAGAGCTGGTGGTTTAGGAATTAATCTTACAGCTGCTGATACAGTAAGTAAATAACTTGGTCTGAAAATTCCAGGATAAATGTGAACAGACACCAAAATATGATATACGAACGTGAACAGACACCAAAATACGATATACGATTACATGAAAAAAATGTAAAACTAATGAAATTAACACTGCATTCACTCAGAGTAAGAGATGGTATTGCCTGGCAATACAAAATTACTGTGGTGAGAGCAATAAAATATAAAGGTTCACATTCTTTGCTTTTCTGAGTTGAACTGTTACAGCTGCATTTCACACAATATAGGGGTGTGTGTATGTGTGTTTATCTATCTGTATCTGTGTAGAAGTACCATGATGTAAGAAATACCATTGTTTTATTTCACTGCAAAGACTTAAACTGGCTAGTTGATGGCTGTCTAACACATATATACTTGGAGGAAACGTGTACTATTTTTGCAACATTTTCCAATGTGCCATTTTTTTCCTGAGATTTTTTCCTGAGAAAAAGGCCTGACCACTAGATGGGTGGGGTAATTTTTTAAATAAATAAATAAAATCATCACATCATTGAAAATGGTAATATGTAAAGCAGTCCTTAAATTGCTACAATCTTATCCAAACATCTTATTCAAAATGCTCGAACAGTATGTGATTTTAATTTAAACAAGGACCACTAACTTTTATGGCATGTGAATTGTACTGATTCTGTGGCAGACAGCATTGCCTAGGATCTTTTCAGTATATGTTATAATGTCAATTTCCATGAATGATGAAAATGGGAATTTTAATATATATTGTTATGTAATTTAAAATAATTATTGTGCTCTAGGGAACCTTTAGGCCTGGTGATATATTGGGTAGTTTTGACCATTTCTGAAATACAGCATACCCAGTGCATCTTTTACAAACATATCTATAACTACAGTATGAAAATTTGAAGAGTTTGAAACAGTACTACAATCGAGCAGAAGTATATGAAATACAGATTAAAATAAATATAGGTGCATATATTCTGCAAATACTAAATTTACAATTTAATTAGAGTACTTCATATAATCTCATTAACAAGGATCGTGTTAAGAAATAGAGTGTAATACAATGAAGGTGTTTCAGTCCTATAGACTTTTTTTTCCAGTAATATAATAAGTATAGATTAAACCAAAACTCTAGTAAACTAATTGAAATAAGTTGTAATGATTTATTCTTAAGTAGTGTAAATTTGATTGATTTTAATTGATCTTCTCTAGTTGGGAGTCACGCTGAATTCAGCACACTGTTAGTATGTAATTTTCTTGTAGCAAGATCTGAAAATAATTATTTAGTCTAAATTTGCTCAGTCCACAGAAATTGCTTTCTCTGCAATGGTGCTTGCTGCAGCTAAATCCACCAGGCTTTTGTCTTCTCTGCCACAGGAACTTTCAGGGGCTTTTGCCTCAGAATCTAACAGCAAATAAAAATACCATTATGCAGCCTTTTAAAGTTGTGCATGAACTGTGTGTGGTGTAGATAATTACTTCTGCATTTGTAACTTTTTTTTCCAAATATGCCCTGCCAGGTAATATTCTATGATAGTGACTGGAATCCAACAGTGGATCAGCAGGCCATGGATAGAGCTCACAGGCTGGGTCAGACTAAACAAGTCACTGTCTACCGTTTAATTTGTAAAGGCACCATCGAGGAGCGCATTTTGCAGAGGGCTAAGGAGAAAAGTGAGGTAAGAATAAAAAATGTTGACGATGACTTGTGGGAAGAACAACAAGGACACTATGCTATGATTGTTTAGAAACCAGAGATAGGAAACAAATGGTCTTTTGGGTCTTGCTGGATTTCAACTCCCATCATCTTTCCCACTGACTATATTGGCTAGAGCTTCTTGAAGCTACAGTTATGAGACATCTGGATAGTCACTTGTTCTGCACTCTGTTCCATACAACTATTAAAGGCGTAGGAGCCCTGCCCTCTTTTGCAGGGCATCTGGCTACCCTGCTCAGAAGAACAAGACATAACTTGCTAATGAATAAAACTGTTGCTAGTTGATTTGATTAACCTACAGTAATTGATTGTGTTCGGGCATACTCACACAGAACATACATTGTCACCCTTTATTTTTATTTGTGGCCCGTTTTTATGATATTGTATTTACATGTATATCTGAATTTGTGTCAGGATATCTCTAATGACTCTGTGGAGTATGTGGGTCAAGCTGCACTATTATTCAAGCATATGGAACTGTTTTTTAAAGCAACATTTGAACATGTTTTAAAATCATCTGTTTCACAATCAGCCTAAGAAGTTACTTAAACAGAGCAAACCAGTAACTACTGGGTTTATTATGGTACATCCATGGTAATAATTACCAAAACATTTTTAAAGAATGCCTTTTTGTACTCCTGAGTGCTTTACCAAAGTACTTCTTCAGTCTATTTCTGCCCCATGATAGGTGAAAGTCTAATGTGGTTTTTTTCCGTTCCAGATTCAAAGGATGGTGATTTCAGGTGGCAATTTCAAACCAGATACATTGAAACCTAAGGAAGTTGTTAGTCTGCTTCTGGATGATGAGGAACTTGAGAAGAAATGTATGTGGAATCAGTATTTCTGTCCAAAATTTCACCAGTTCCAAATGTGTGCACACTTGCTTGTTTTGTTTCACTTCACAAAGTGAAACCGATGAAGAAATGTTTAAAGACAGTGAACGTATTTGTATTCAAGCTCAATTTTGTTTTCCATTGGCTATACTACTTTGAGTTTGTTCATTAGTACCTTGCAATAAAGTATGTCTGTAGAATATTCCCAAGTTGGAAGTAATGTGATGAGAAACTTCTCTTCTCCTATCTTTAAATGTGCTTTGGTACACAAGAAGTCAGAGTGGAAGAAAAGACATCACCACGGCAGGGCAAGGTAGAATGGGGACTGCTGCTACTAGTAGTTTCCTTAACAAAGCCCATAAGAAGCTGTATCATGCAGCAAACATTAGTCAAAAGAGGAAGCCAGCATTTCTTCCTTTTTAAAATATCTTTAAAGTGTGGAAGTGAGACTAGAGTATAAAACTGTTAGCTGTATCTGCCTGCTGAGCCAGACGTCGGGAGTTTTGATTCCCCACTGTGTCTCCTGGAAGAGCCCCAGCCTGCATGCTTTGGGCAAGCTGCACAGTCCCAGGGCACCCCTAGAAAAAGGGAATGGTAAATCACTTCTGTGTATTCTCTATCTAGAAAACCCTAGAAAGTGTTGCCATAAGTCAAAATTGACTTGACGGCACACAATTATATTGTTGTTATTATAAAACAAATATTTTAGAAGGGCTGTTGCAGTTATTCATTGATTGTAAAGCAGTGATTTGTTGAAGAAAGTTGTGAATAATTTCAAGCTACCATGTGTGGCATCTCATTAGAAGGCAAAGCATAACTAAATCCAGTGTAAGGAAATAAAGAGAAAGAAGGATATACAGCAGCAGTGGGATGATTAAAATATTGCAAGATGGAGATCAGGTCATTCGAGGTCCATACCAGCAGGCTTTACAAAATGAACGAGAGAGTGAGAAGTGCTACATGGCTTAATGGTGGTGTAGGGCAGCGATGGTGAACCTATGGCACATGTGCTACAGCCGGCACACAGAAATACTTACGTGTCCTCCGATCCCGGATTTTGGCACTCCCTTCTGCTGGCGCAGTGGTCCAGCAGAGGGGTGCAATGGCAACCATTACCAGTCTAGCCCAATGGGGGATTGGAGGACCAGTAAGCATTTATTTGTTAATACCGCCCATAGGAAGAAACAAAAAAAAGTGTTTAATCCTTGCAGTGTAGTAATAGTTGTTTTTCTAAACTAAAACTTTTAATTGCAGTGTTGGCACTTTGAAATAAATAAGTTGATTTTGTGTTGCAGTTTAGGCACTCATTCACCATCACTGGTGTAGGGTGTTATTACAGCTTTCTTGGGTGCAGGTGATAGTATTGTAACAAGCTCCCCATTTCCCAGAGATCTATATGTGTGGTGGCAAAGCCAGAAAAGAAATTGGAGCCTAGATGAGAAAGCACAAAGACATACTCTGTCTTCCTACAGTATTTGCTTTTCATTTTCTTTTCTTTTCTTTCTTTCCTGTTGGCAAGTATTAAACCTATGTGAGAGGGGCATTTAGCATTTCATGTCTCAAATTATTATGCCATTTTTTTTCTCTGAACAGCATCTAAAGTAATTATTTTGGTATAAATAACAATATTAGTTTCTTTAAGAAAAGGTTGGGCTACAGTACAGAGGGGAGGGAGTTAGACTGTAGAGGCTAAAATAAATGGATGGAGTGAAAAGAACAACACATGCATCTCCTAGGTAATTTGCCTTAGCTCTTAAATTTTACACCACTGTTTCCATCCTGCTGATAAAGATTTACTTGTATTATATTTTCTTATCTTGGTAGTGCGTCAGCGTCAGGAGGAGAAAAGACAGCAGGAAGAGACAAATCGTGTGAAAGAGCGTAAACGGAAAAGGGAGAAGTATGCTGAAAAGGTTTGAACACACATTTGTTCCTTTGTTCTGTTATTTATTTATTTATTTATTTATTTATTCATTTATTTATTTATTCATTTATTTATTTATTTATTTATTTATTTATTTATTTATTTATTAAATTTATACCCCGCCCATCTAGACACATGTCTACTCTGGGTAGCTAACAATAAAAATAGAATAAAAACAGTATATAAAATAAAAAGCAACAATAATAATATAGTGATTGTTGTGGGTTTTTCAGGCTCTTTGGTCGTGTTCTGAAGGTTGTTCTTCCTAACGTTTTGCTCATTTCTGTGGCTGGCATCTTCAGAGTGCTGTCCTCTGAAGAGCCCGAAAAACCCACAACAACCATTAGATCCGAGCTGTGAAAGCCTTCGCGAATACAATAATAATATATCTCAAGGTAGGGAAAAAATTAAAAATAATCAAGTGATGACAGGAGGGAAAATCTGCTTAAAGAGCCAGGTCTTAAGTTGGCTCTTAAAAACACACAGTGAGGGAGCTAGACAGATCTCTGAGGGGAGACTGTTCCAAAGGTGAGGGTTCAAAGAGGTTACAGGTCCAAAGAGAATTTTAAAGACTATTTTCAGGAGTGGTCTGCCTCACCTACTTAAGAAGGAGTTTCAGTCTGAATTTTAATATAAAACATTAAAGGAATGCATGGATGTCAGTTTTTCTAAGTTATTTGTGTGAATGGTATGTTCAGTTTCCTTTGCCTCAGATCATTCGTGACTAAAATTATTTATTTATTTATATAAAATATTTGTATCACACCTTTTTTCTTAAAAAGAACCCAAGGCAGCTTACATCATTAAAAAACAGTATGTAGAAGCTAAAAACAGTAGGTATACAAATATTTAAGAAGAATTAAACAAGTATTATATCAAAAACAGCAATAAAATCAATGCTAAAATAGGTTTAAAACAGCAGAGCACAACCATTCATTTTAAAAGAAAACCTCAGCCCAGTAGTTATTAAGGGAAAACTTGCCTAAACAGAAAGGTCTTCTAAAACAGTGGTCCCCAACCCCCAGTCCATGGCAGGACCAGGCTGCGGAG